CCTGGTGTAATCAGGCATTGTGATTTGGGGGGGGAAGTAATCAGCGCATTAGCTGCAACCAACTGCAACAGCAATGCATTTCACCTGTAACCCATTCACTGTGAATACACACAGGCTGCTTCTCCGAAGTGTACAACACTCACCAAAATGTCAGTAAGCTCTTCAGGGGCAAACCCCTCTGAGTATTTGGGTCAGGGATTTGTATTTTTAATTTCTTAAATCATTAGAATATGCCTTTTGTACAGTCAGACAACTCCTCTTGCTGCGAAGGCTGTCTTATCACAGGTGCAGAAGGGGTAATCCATTTAACAAAGATTAAAGAGCACGGATCATGACCAAGCAGCTGAAAAGGCTGCAGCGCTGAGGAAGAGAAGCAAAGTGACCATCACCGGAGTGAGAAATTATGCTTTTCAAACTGCAGGGACAGAGCTGCAAGGAAGATGCGTGGCAGAGAAAGGAAAGTAGGAGACAAACTGTTTGAGACAGCGTATCACAAAACCAAGTGATGGAGTGATTTATTTCTTAAGACTGTACTTCCACATACAGATTGTATTTGTCATAGACAAGCAGGGTGATGAAGGCACATATAGAACAACTTATTACTCCACATCTTAAAATCTGTGAGAACATTTTGGATAATTTACAACCAGGTGAAAATGACCAAGTGGAAAGGGGAAAATGTGTGCATAGCATCAGCAGCATACCACCAGTGAAATGGGTTGGTCTGTCCAACAGCCAGGAGAAACCCCTTCCTGTGAGGTGCCACCCAGCTGCTGAAGGCAGAACACTGGTCTAGTGAAGATCGAGGCAAAGCTTCTTCTGGACCAAACAGGGCCAGGGTTTCCCTCCATTTGCTCAGGCGTATTCCTGTTCCTGCAGGAACCAGCTGACTGCATCCCACTCACCAGCTCGTTAAAAAAGAGCACAAAAGTGATTGTAAAGAAACCTTTGTTTCGTATTTTCAGCTCCTTTCCATTCTGCTTCTCCAGAATACCAAGAGCAGCTGTTAGCACCCAGCCTGAAGGGAGGCCGAATCTTCCTCCTCCTGGCAGGGCCAAACCTCCCCAGGCTCCCTTCTCTTTATCCTGAACAGCCCTCGGGAGCCACCACACCGTCTCCAGGGCTGCAAACCACCCACCCAGCTTCCGACGGAGCTGCTTCCCTCGCTCCCAGCGGCGCTGAAGCCCCCGCCCCGTCCCTGAGGGATGGACAGGACCACAAACCCCAGGAGCCGGACGGGAAACCCGACAGATCCGGGGCCCG